GAGAATCCACTGAAGTTAAACGATTTTAAACGATCTTAAGTTTTCCGAGTAATAAGAGTTATAAAAATCACAGTTATAGCCAGGCCCGCCGACAGGGGGGGGGGCAAAGGGGGCAACTGCCCAGGGGCCGGGCGAATGAAACCTGGTTATGCGGTAAAACCCGCAAAGCATCTTTAGGCTATATCTTCATCTAATGATAAAAAACATAGTTTTTGGCTTTTCTTTGCATATAGACACTTGATACATTAAGAACTACTGAAATAATAATTTGAGTAATAATTAATAGGTATTTGTTACTTTATAGACTTAATATATATTTATTGTAACTTTATTAACGTTTTTACGCTTATACTGTGAGGTAAAAACGGCTGCTGTTATGATTTTGTCTGGTTTATGAGGTGATTGCTTTCCGAATTTAGGATCTTCTTTTTAATAAGTTCTTGAAAATGTTAAAAAAAAAAAAAGAGAGAGAAAGGGGGCCCGGCGAAAATGTTTGCCCGGGGCCCGTGCTGGCTCTCGATGTTCCTGGTTATAGCTTTCGAAGTTTACAGCACACTAATTAAAGCGAACTACTAATAGACACTCTCTTTGGCGCGTCGTGTTGGCTGTATTTATAGGCGTGGGAAGGTTTTCTAGAAAATTCAGATTACATAACAATACTGAGCTATATTTAAACGTTTACGTATATAGATATATTGTTGATTCTTACTCTCGAGAATCTTCTACAACTTTGGAGAATAGGCGGGAGTTTAGCAATACATATCTAACACTATAAGCTAGGCATGTTTTTAAATATAAACTTAATGTAAACAACAGTGATATTAAAATAAATACATAAATTCGTTACAGCGAGCAGAGAGTCAAACAGTTTAGATAACTGAAGTATTTATTTTTAGTGACGTTGTTGGATCAGAATTAATTATCGCCTATATTCAGTTACTCAAAGGATTAGCCGTGACATTGTACAAGTGAGTTTATTGTGTTATGACAGTCGTAGTAGCCTTTAGTGAGGTACTTCCATTTGAGCTTCATTTGTAAAGTTACTTAAGCCCGAAAGTTACAAAAATGTTCAAGTCAAATCAGGTTATAGAAACGCCAAGGAAGAAATAAACTAATTTGTTATCGTAACGTAGACTGGACTTCGAATTATTTCCTCACATAATTAAGAACAACCCTGTCAAAATAGAATAACTTTACGATACTAGTGCCAAAATTGGTATTAACTTGGTGAAAATAAAAGAGAAATTTGAATATATTTGAAATTGAACTGTTTAAGATGAAGACCACATGGTAAAGAAGTTGTGAGATTCAAGCATTATTTGCAATGAAAAAATTAATGACAAAGATTGTAAGGTAAGCAAGGAGCCAAATTAATACTGGTTTCTAGCCATTGGCATAAGCAACCTTTATGTAAGTAAAAGTAGTAGTATATGTTTATCAATATTTAACACTTGACAAGAATGTCATGGCTATATGCATAACTTCTGCACAAAACTTTATAAAAATTATGGGAATATGCATAACTAAAGATATGTTCTAAACTAGTTATAGAAGGGTGAAAATAATTACGATTTTAAGCATTACAACTATGCTTGCCTTATCTCAAAGCAGTCCTCATCCAAACTTAAAAATTAATGGTCCAGTTACATAATTAATGATCAGATACAAAATGTTACAATGTTTTCTCTCAGGTGAGATGCAAGATGCCATTACACCTAACATAGACAACAAAGGGAATAAAACTCCAGTTACCAGTAAAAGGAAATTAAACTAAAAGTTAAAATAAAATAAACTCAGTGAAAATATATTAAACTCGAATATAATAAAGTGTCAACTGTGGTAAGAAAATCAAACTATAACAAGCTTGTAAGACAGACATTTGAATGAAGTTGCTTGGCTCATACAACACACACACTTCTAGCATGTTAAGCTAAAGTTTTCCAATCTTTTGTGCAGATCACCATATTTCTCTATTACGTCTCTGTTCGTTTGTTAATTTTCCGTAAAATTCTTTCCGAAGAAACTTTAGCGATACAAGTCCTTTCTTAAATAAAACTAGTTTATTCTTTCTCAATACAACTTTGCAATACACTTAATTTCCACAGTCAGTTAAACTTAAACAAACGCTATAATTCACAACGAACGATTCACGCCCTACCGCGCTTGACTCAACTGTCCGTCTCTATCTCTGTCTGCAATTCAGTTCCCTTGTTGCCGTCACTTCTTGGCGGTCTTATATATTATAAAAGCGTACATCTCGTCTCTTCTTGAATCCTCTAGAAACTCATCACGTGTTACCAGCGTCACTTAAC